AACATATGACTTTGGAGATCTTGGTTAACATGGATGCCCCAAAGCCCAACAGCTGTAGTCAAACTTGATGCAACACAATTGGCATCTATGATAGATCCTGCCCCTTCCTCCCCAGGGCCTCACCCTCTTCCATCCCTACATGACCGTTATATGTTTATTAGGACTCTTCCAAGGACTAGGTTTCATTCATTTAAAAAAAAATGAATATGTAATTTTGGCCTAAAGTCAATTCAATAAAACCTTGAATAAAAGTTTTTTTTTTAATTCCCAGAAAAATAATACTATAGTATGAGCTTGAAAGCACTGAGAATAAAGTAAAAAATCAATTTTGCAAATATGTATAAAATAGCATAATACATGTAATGCCCATGGGCCTGACACGATGGTTCAATGGCTAAAACTTCACCTTGGAAGTGCTAGGATCCCATATGGGTGCTGGTTCATGTTCCAGTTGCTCCACTTCCCATCTGGCTCCCTGCTGGTACCCTGGGAAAGCAGTGGAGGATGGGACCCTGCACCCATGTGGGAGACTCAGAAGTTCCTGGCCCCAGACTGGTTCAGTTACAGCCACTGCAGCCATTTGGGGAGTGAACCAGCAGATGGAAGATCTTTCTGTCTCTCCTTCTCTCTGTAAATCTGATCTGACTTTCCAATAAAACAAATCTTTCTTTTTAAAATACATATAATGACCTAACATCTGCATGCAATTAACTGAAGAGAATGGTGTGACATATTCCAGATTCTAAAAGAAAAAATTGCTTGCCCAGGATAACATATCAAGCAAAACTTTTCTTTGTCTTTGAAAATGAAATAAAATTCTTCCACAGCAAATAAAAGTTCAAAAATATGCCTCATCTAAACCTGCCCTACAAATGATACTTAAAGGTGTTCTCTTGACAGAGAAGACAAATAGCACCCCCCAAAACCAAAGGCAAATGAGAACATCCCAGTGAAATAACAGGACTGTGGGGAGCTGGGTGCTAAAGCCGCTCCTGGGATTGGGAAAGGCCATTGCAAGATGGCAGCTGGCCCAGGGCCAGAAGGCAGAGCTGGTCTCGCCAGCAGGTAAACAGGAAGTCACAGGGATACACTAATGCGCCCACTGCGATTGCTGGCCCATCACATAGCATCAAGTGGGCCCAAGGGCGGGGGGAGTGATTGGTGCAGAACGATATAAAAGTAGCCAGTAAAAGCTAAGGATGGACGGACGGACGACGAAACGACAGGACAACTGCAACAGACGATGGACAGACAGACGGATGAGAAAGACTGGGGGGCGGGAAGAAGGGTGGCGGAAAAGAGGCGGGGAAAGTACCGGAAGAAGAACAGGAGGAAGGGTGTTGTAAAGATGGTCAAAGAGGCGGGGAGGAAAGCTAAGGCCAATGGGGATAGGCACGGCGAAGAAAAGGATTTAAACGTGACCACTTTTGACAATAAGGGGTCCGGCTGCAGTTCCAGTTTTTTCCAGACCTTCAAGGGGGGCCTTGTCATTTTTAGTGTTGCCGCTGCTGGGTGGCGGTGGCAGAAGACTAAATCAATGAACAACCCATTGCTAAAATGACTGGACCTAATTACCACCCATTCATATTAACCCTGAATGGAAATGGATTAAACTCATCTAGCAAATGTCATAGATTAGTAGACTAGATTAAAAACAAAACCCATCTATTTATTGCCTACAGAAGACCTATTTCACCAACAAAGATCAGCAGAAACTATATCTCATGAATTTTGATTTTTTAAATTTAATTTCATCTCTTCAAAACACTTTTTCTCATTGAATTCTTTACTGACTCAGATCATACACACAGTAGCATCATTTTCTGCAAGAAGCTTTTTGACTTTCTTTTTCATTTCTTCAGCAACACATTAGTCATTCAGTAGCACGTTATTTAATTTCATGTCATTGTAAGTTTCTATTTTTCCTCCTGTTGTTAATTTGGTATTGTAGCTTTTCATTTACGGGGATGTATAGTAACTGTGTAATGGAAACTACCATACCCAGATGTGAGGGTACAATGCAGTATGCATCTCTACTTCCAGACTAAAGATGGACTCCCAATGAACCTGTTTACCACATGACAATAGGATGCTGAACTCTCTGCCATTGTCCATGCCCGCAATGATGGACATATGACTGTGCAGGAAGAACTATACTTTAGTAATGATATAGGGGAACTCGATGGGGGGGAGAAGGGGCAAGGGAAATCCAAGGGCCTATGGAACTGTATCATAAAAATGATAATAATAACAATAATTTAAAAATAAATAAAAAGATGGTTAAAAATAAATAGCAAAAGATTTTTAAAAATAAATAACAAAAAATTCTAAAGTAAATAAAAATTTTTAAAAACCACTATCTGTGTGGATGTATTTGCTAGACATGGTGAAAGAGGTAACAGAAGTCTTTTTCAAAATATCTTTTGTGAAAATCTTACGAAAATATTGAGGGACATTTAAAAGCATTTTTCACCAACTAAACAATCCTTCTCTAAGAGGGCAAAGGTCCCGGGTGGGTGTGTCTGCCAGGAGGACAGCTGAGCACTGGCTGGTGGCTCAGAAGATGGTACGGAGAGTGCTCCTGCTCCCCAGCTCTCTGGTGGGAAACTCCGGGTGTGTCTGATACTGTGATTAAAACACGAGAAAGTAGCTCCTGGCTCCTGGCTTCAGATCAGCTCAGTGCTAACCTTTGTGGTCCTTTGGGGATTGAATCAGCAGACAGAAGATGTTGCGCTCTCTCTCTTCCTTCTTTGTAAAATCTGCCTCTCAAATAAAAATGCATAAATCTAAAAAAAGAAAAAAAAAGAAAGGGTAGACTAGAAAGATACAATTTATCCATTAATAGGAGTTCTAAAACACAGTAATAAAGCAAGTAATAAAGAGGTCATGTTCAAAGACATCAATAGCAATCAAGCAATAATGCTTAAATCCAGGAATTGAAATCTATTCCAAGCGGGGTAAATTAATTTTTATACCTCAATATTATAATGAACATACAGAATGCCAAAGAAAGCCAACTTCCCTATAAGGGATGACAGCTATGTCAATAAAAAAAATTTTTTTTTCTTAACGCTTATTTGAAAATGCTGACAGGCAAAAAGACAGAGCTGGGCCCGGCGCAGTGGTGCAGTGGTTAAGGTCCTCGCCTTGCACGCCCGGGATCCCATATGGGCGCCGGTTCTAATCCCGGCAGCCCCGCTTCCCTTCCAGCTCCCTGCCTGTGGCCTGGGAAAGCAGTCGAGGACAGCCCAAAGCTTTGGGACCCTGCACCCGCGTGGGAGACCCGGAAGAGGCTCCTGGCTTCGGATCGGCATAGCATCGGCCGTTGCGCTCACTTGGGGATTGAATCATCAGACGGAAGATCTTCCTCTCTGTCTCTCCTCTCTGTATATCTGCCTTTCCAATAAAAAAAATAATAAAAATCTTTAAAAAAAAAAAAAAAAGAGCTGTCTCACTTGCTGGTGTAAACGCCCAACACCCACAACAGCTGGGGAGAGGTGGGTCAAAGCCAAGAGTCAGAGACTCAATGTAGCTCTCCCACACAGGGGCAGGAATCCAACCTGACTCCCAGGTGGTGCCTTATCAAGACACTGGCGTCAGGAGCCGGAGCCGGGAATCGAACCCAAGACATTCTGACGAAACACACAGGCATCTCAAGTACTAAGCTAAATGTTCGCCCCCTCAAATGGGAGTCAGAATACAGTCCAACTCTGAGAAGAAGTGTCATTCCAGAATTCTATCTCACTAAACTGTCATGCAAGAACGAGGATGCGGAGCTGAGATTGTGGCACAGCTGTAAAACTCACATCGCAATTCCATGCAGGTGCCCCTGATGCTGTGCTTCCAGTCCAGCTGGCTGCCGATGTATTTGGGCCTCTGCCACCGATGCAGGAAAATGAAATACAGTTCCTGGCTCCTAGCTTTCACCTAGCCCAGCTCGACATCACTGCAGCTGAGGGGTTACGCAGTGAAACACAGTGTCTTTCTGTCTGTCTGTCTGTCTGTCTCTCTCTCTCTCTCTCTCTCTCTCTCACACACACACACTGTGCACCTGTGATTCACTGCGAGATTACTTCATTTCTCTCTCACAGAACTTCTCCTTGCACTCTACAACTTCCAGAATAAAGTTCAAAGCCCTTAGCCCAACATTCAAGACTCTTCTCCTACACACTGCTCCAGAAAGCTAACTTCAAGGAAGCTTCTACTCTAAATAGTGTGTATCACTAAATTTAAAACAACATACAATCAAAAAAACCTGTCTCTCCTGCCTGCCTCTTCTTTTTCTCTCTCTCCCTGAAATGTGCCATTTCCTGTTTACTCCTACAGGACCCATCCAAGATTCAAGGTCTGTCTCTGTCAGGAAGACTTCACATCACTGTAGATCCCATTCACTTTCTGTCTTCCTCGTGCCCTGCCACTGCGCCTTGTACGTGCCTGGCACTTCACGGGAGGCGCTTGCGCAGAATCGCTGTTGGGGCCGCTTGTAACACAGAAGCCGGCTTATAAGTAATTACGATCACCAGGCGCTCCCAGCACAAAGCCTGGTGAGGCTCAGCGTTCGTAATGCGGTAATGAGCATCACCTGCTATTTTTTGAGGAAATGCAATTTCGCCACAGTGGCAGCTGCTGCAGTGCATCTCCACCACGGTTTGCCAAAGCCTTTAAGGTCCCTAGCAGACAGGTTTAGGGCTTCCAGCCAATGTTTGCTACTGGAGAAGTCACCCACAATCTAAGTTTTATAACCATGGAACTGGGGTTTAAGTTAAGCAAAAGTGTCAGCTGGTGACGCTCTGGATAAAGATGACAAGTAAACGGTCTTCCACAACCCCATCACAGCCTTCTAGAAAAACAGCGCCACCCCAGCCACGTCAGGGCGGGCTCTACTCTCCGGACTCACTGATTGGCTCTCTGCGGCCGCTGGCCTCAGATGATTGGTTGCCGTCATACGGGGCCTCTGGGAGTGGCACGTGCACTAGCGTCACTTCGCCAAGAAGCCAAAGATGGCGTCGGAGCCCTCGAAGGCTTGGCCAGCCGTGACCTCCTGCCCACAGTTAGGGAGGAAGAGTCGGCCCTGGGATGCAGGGGAGACTAAGTGCAGATGCTGTGGAAGAAGCGTAGCTCACGGTGAGGCTCCTGAAACGTGCTGTGTGTCCTGCCAAGGTTGGCGGCTTGGTGGGGAGGGCAGCGGGGAGCAAGGCCGGCGCAGGGCAGCGGGAGCAAGGCCCAGGGCAGCAGGAGCAAGGTCGGCCTGGGGCAGCGGGAGCAAGGCTGGCCGGGGGCAGTGGGAGCAAGGCTAGGGGCAGCAGGAGCAAGGTCGGCCTGTGGCAGTGGGGAGCAAGGCCGGCCTGGGGCGGCCGGGGGTGGGGGGATGGGGGTGGAGCAAGGCCGGCCCGGGGCAGTGGGGAGCGTGGCCAGCCCGGGGCAGCGGGAGCAAGGCCGGCCCAGGGCAGCAGGAGCAAGGCCCAGGGCAGTGGGGAGCGTGGCCAGCCAGGGGCAGCGAGGGCAAGGCTGGCTGGGGTCAGCAGGAGCAAGGCCCAGGGCAGCAGGAGCAAGGCCGGCCCGGGGCAGTGGGAAGCATGGCCAAACGGGGCAGCGAGGGCAAGGCTGGCTGGGGTCAGCGGGAGCAAGGCCCACACGGGGCAGCTGGGAGTGTGGCCGGCCTGGCCCTCCTCGGCCCTCTGTGGAGGCGGGAGGCCCTTCCCCCTGCCTTCACGAACCCCACTCCTGAGCACCTGTCCATCCCCAGATTTGCTGGTGTTCAAATCATTCAAAATCCTCCCTGCCAGCATTGTCAGCTGTAGTTACCTCTGGTGGGGAAGAACTGTCAGAATTTGTTCCCCCTTTCTGATACTCAGATATTAAAGAGTAAATGTAGACATTTAGCACATTTCCTTGTGGTCCACAAGGAATGAAACTTGTGTCCGGGTGTAGGTTTTGTTGCTGGAGTATCTAGTAGACCCCCGTGAAAAGTTGCTGGATTAAAACCCAAAAATGGCTTTGCATTTTTTGTTTTTTGTTTTTTTTGGTAATGACTGAATTTCAGTTAAAGCACAGTTTTTTAAAAAGTGTTGTTTGTTGCTTTGTGTGTTTTTTTTTAAGGTCTTGTTTGTTCATTTTTTGCTGGCTATATACGAACAGAGACTGCACTCCTGTTCATGTATGCAAATGAACTCAGGTTCAAAACAAATTTTTAATGTGATTTAAAATAGCTTACACTGCTGTTTTTTAGGAATCAGTTGCTGAATCTCAGCTCTTGGAGCTACTGAAAATCCATTGGTTTAACTGTTGACTGTATATTTTCAAAGTGAAAACCGTTCGGTCGAACTTTATCCGTTCTTTTGGAATGAGCTTCCTTGAGAACAGAACCTTTGTACAGAAAGTTATGCTTTCAGTGGAATTCATATTCTTGTGATTTTAATCGCTGCTGCTGCATAGAAAATCTCCATTTGAATTAAGTAAGAATTACAACAGGAAATTCTAGAGCACTAATGCTTTAAAAAGAGTGGTTCTGGGCACTTAGCCTAGCGGTGAAGATGCTCACTTCCCAAATGCAGTGTCTAGGTTTCATGCCCAGCTGCAGCCTTTTTAAGATTGCTTTTAATTGGAAAGTCTGATATACAGAGAGAAGGAGAGACAAAGAGGAAGATCTTCCATCTGCTGATTCATTCCCCAAGTGGCTACAATGGTCAGAGCTGTGCCAATCCGAAACCAGGAACCTGGAGCCTCTTTTGGGCCTCCCACTCAAGCACAGGGACCCAAGACGTTGGACTGTCCTTGTGACTGCTTTCCCAGGCCACAAGCAGGGAGCTGGATGGGAAGCAGGGCTTCCAGGAAATGAACCTTTGCCCATATGGAATCCTGGCACATTCAAGGGGAGGACTTAACCACTAGGCCACCATGCCAGGCCCCCAGCTCCAGCTTTTGACTCCAGTTTCATGATAATGCAGAACCTGGGAGTCAGCAGTGATGGTTCAGGTGGTTGGATCCTGCCACCATGTGTAAAACCTGGATTGAGTTCCCAGACTCAGTCATTGCAACTTTGGAATGTGAACCAGCAGTTAGAAGTTCTCTTTCAAGTGTAATTTTTTTTTTAAATTTTAATGTTGCTTCTGTACATTTGTGTTGCAGTGCTTAGAAATATAGTTGGAAAGATTGTGGTTATGCATTTAGAAATGTGAAAGTGCTTTGTCATGCACCACAGGTGTGTGTGTGTGCATGTGTGTGAACGTGTGTGTAAATACACAGTACCATACATTTTATGTTAAAAGTTTTAGTTTGATTGTAATATGTCTGGGTTTAAATAAGACTTTGAAATTTATAATGGTTATATGCAAGTTTTAGATATTTCAGGCGACTGAAAAGTAGTCTTTTCTTTAAAAAATACAGCTTCATGGAACTAGAATGCTAATTTTTTGGTAGCAAAAGATAACTGAGTTTTAATATGCACTGCTGTCCAAAAAAAAAAGTGTTTTAACCTTTTGGGGTTGGCATTGTTACACCTGAGTTGCCCTGATGGCATATCAGCACCCCTGGAACCACTTTCAGTCCAGCTTCCTGTTGTACACCTGGCAAGGAGCGGATGCACTCATTTCCATCCGCGAGGGAGAACCAGGGAGCAGTTCCTGGCTCCTGATTCCAGCCTGGCCCAGTCCTGGCGGTAGCAGGTAATTAGAGAGTGAAGCAGCAGATGGAAGATCTTTTATCTTCTTCTTTCCCTATCAGTTTGCCTTTGAAGTAAAGAATTTTTTTCAAAAAAGCTGAAACAAATATGTTACTGATATTAAACTTGTGATTCTACTTAAATCACTTAAACCTTTGAATTAGACTTTCCACTAAGGCTCTATGATTCCCATTCTAAGTTGCGAAAATGAGCTTTTCAAAGGACTTTTTTTTTTTTAAGCCAGACTCCTAATGGTCACTACCAGCTTGTTTTTTTAAAGATTTATTTATCTGTATTGCAAAATCAGATATAAAGAGAGGAGGAGAGACAGAATGGAAGATCTTCCATCCACTGGTTCACTCCCCAAGCAGCCGCAATGGCCAGAGCTGAGCCAGTCCAAAACCAAGAGCCAGGAGCCTCTTCCAGGTCTCCCACACGAGTGTAGGATCCCAAGGCTTTGGGCCGTCCTCCACTGCCTTCCCAGGCCAAGCAGGGAGCTGGATGGGAAGTGGGGCTTCCTGGATTAGAACCAGTGCTCATATGGGATCCCGGCGTGTTCAAGGCAAGGACTTCAGCCGCTAGGCCACTGCGCAGGGCCCCAAAGGAATTTTGTTATTCATTGAGAGACAGAGCAGAAGGAGCACTCGCCTCTTGAGGTGTACTCCCTACATGGCTGCCGCAGCCAGGGCCACAGTTAACCCTCGTATGAGTGGCAGGGTCCTAATCACGTGAACAGTCAGTGCTGCGTCCCTAGGTCTACACCAGCAGGAAATTAGGAGCCAGGGCCAGACGTGGAACCCGTATGCTCCAGTGTAGCCGGCCAGCATCTGACCTGTGAAGTTAAATGCTCGTTCCTGTAAAAATGGCTGTGAGTGGGTTGTGTGTGTGACAGTATTAGCACATGGCTTCTTAGCTTTTGTCCTCTTCAGTGCAATACGTCAGTGTGAAAGAGCAGTCTCGCCCACGTCTGTTCAGCCTTCACTGGTAGACGTCATTAGGATTAAGTAGAGAAATTGGGCTTGGCAACGGAACTGGTGGAGTCTTACACCATTTAGTTACTCAGATGAGCAAGGAATTTTCTTAACACTGTGTTGGATTATAGCATTGTCAGCCTGCTTGCTTGCTGTATGTACGAAGAACAAATGAAACGTGTCTGAATACTCCACAAGTAAGAAATGGTAAATTCCGAGTATTATAGACACAAAATCTGGGTAATGCAAGCATTATTCTGTAGCTCTGTCTGGTTTTTCTTCATTTTCTTTTTTATCCTTCTCCCTTCTTCTGTGCTGTTTAGTTTCTCCTGAATTTTGCCTCATACACCATTTGTTTTTTCAGATTTATTTATTTTTATTTGAATGGCAGATTTCTCAGAGAAAGAGAGAGAGGTCTTCCTCCGGGTCTCTCCCCAAATAACTGCAACAGCCAGAGCTCCACTGATCAGAAGCTGGGAGCCAGGAGCTTCTTCCTGGTCTCCCACGTGGGTGCAGGGGCCCAAGGACTTACAAAATCCTCCTCTGCTTCCCCAGGCCCTAAGTTGGATCAGAAGTGGAGCAATCAGAACTTAAGCCAGCGTTCATAAGGGATGCCAGCCCCAAGCCATTCATTTCTAGCTAAACCGGGTATCTTCCTGCATAAAAGAACCGCCTTTAGACTTTCTCTTTGCTGTCAGTTCTGCATATTGTGTGAAGTTTAATTCACAGTGGAATTTCATCAACAGGTTGCCACAATGAACTTCAGTGTGGTCACACTTTTTGTGAACTATGCTTGTTAATAACTGAAGAACACAGCACACTCATGTGCCCCGATTGTAAGGTAAGTTTATGATTTGTCAGATTAAGCTCCTCATAGAATGATGTTAAAAATAAGTCTGTTCATCTATTAGAGACAAAGAGCCAAGTTTCACTTAGAAACCAACAACTTTCAGTGCTGGAAGGAAAAAAAAAAATACTTGCCCCATCCGTTTCACAACTGCTCAAAATATTGAGAATAAAGATTAAAATCCTACATGTTTAAACTTACATATTCTGACTGTGGAAACTGAGATTGGAATTTTATGTTTAATATATATTCCTTTCTAAACATTACACTCCTTACTCATACCAACACCTTGCAAGAAAATTTTGAACTCCTCCTGTCCCTCAACCTTTATATGTCATCAAATTTGTAAATATGTCACGCTATCAAAAAGGCTGAGCAGTCAAATGGTTGCTAAAATTAGTATTAGAAGTGCCGGAGTCCAGCTCCAGTTGAGTTCGGAGCTCAAGAAGGGCGCGTGAAATAGGCATAGAAGGAAGAGAGACGGACCACTACAATTCCAAGGTCATTATGGACAATGCGAGAAAGCTCTCTGCTTTATTTATGCAGAAGCCGTCACAAGCTCTGGCACAGACCTTTCACATCATGGTGTTGCATCCATGTGGCCCCAAGCAGTACAATTACAAAGTTTCCTTTAGGGGCAGTTTGACATAGCTTCATGGGGGGGGGGGGGCGGGAAGCACAATTTACAACTTCTTGATATGAATGAGGGAGGATTACACATTCCTTGTGTATCTCGGCTTGCCAGTCCCCACCTGCTCTCCTCAAGTCTGGGCTCCAACCTTGTCGCCGCCTGTGACAACCAGACCCCTACCTTGAATTATGTATGGGTTAAAAGGTCTGGGGCCTTGGTTTAAGGGGATTGGGGTCATTGACATTAGTTGGCCATTAGACTCAGCCTTTAGGGTCTCAGTAACAGGATAACCTTTATGGTCCCAGTAGCTATATTTTTTGTCATAGCAGTTTCAGCCCATACTCCCATCACTTCCATTAGTTTGTAAAATTCTTATCAGGTCATTTCCCAGAAAGCATGCTAAATGCCTGGGCCAGATTTCATGGCAATGGTTAGGCACACAATAAGGTGTCCAGAAACAACATGGGCTTAATTGTACTCCTGTGCGCAGTTAAAGGCCCACCCACCAAGACATTATCAATAATGTTAGCTCTCAAGCTCATGTTGGTTGCAAAAGCTATCTCACAGGGGCAAACAGTGCCTCAATAGATTACAGAATTGTTAGTGGGGTGCTTGAGTGACCATGCAGACGGGCTGAGACTGCGTCAAAGTGGTCAGAGAGAAATCCGCTGGGCCCTGCCAAACAGCTGGAAGCTCCCCCAGGCCCCGCCAAGCAGGGGAGCTGTTCTCTTCACACCTTCATGTTATTCACACCTACTGCATGGACCCCAGCATAGAAGCACCTAAAAATAGGACAATTAAACTAGGACCAAAATCTACCAACTGATATGAAAGAGAGCAAATTAAGGATTTAAAAAATCTACTGGGCATCCTTCTCAATTATTACCCATCCAGGTTTTTGTAATATGTTCTCAGAAAATTATTTCAATGTGTAAAATTTTTCACTCCTTCTGGAGAGAGCAAATGGGGAGTCTTTATGTCCACTGATTGTCACAGTGGGCAGACGGTTGGTAGGCATAGCACCGACCGGCTCTGTTCTTGCCTGCCTGTCCTCACTTGGGACGTGGAATTTATAAGGCTGTGAGAAGCAAATTTAAATGAGGTAGAAGTCCTCTCCAAGCCTCCAGGCCATTACCATATCCTTCATTATTTCTGTGTGATTAACTGGTTTCAGTTTAAAGGTGATAAACATATGTATGTTTTGTAAATTACGAAAGTTTTACTTCTAGCAAAGGTATACTTATTAAAAGCTGCCTTATTTCAGAATTTTGTACTTTACAAGTGATGCCCTTGTGGGGAGCCCCCTCCTGTGGTGGTGGTGATGGATTCCTGCCACATGTGGTCTGGGGGTGAATGAAGGAAAAGGGAAGGAAGAGAAAAGGAGCAGGTAGCTGGGCCCGGTGCTGTCCATGTCTCACATTGATGCACAGAAAACACGAGGGTTTTAATAGTACCTTCTGCCTTTTAGAGGCAAGTGATGCCATGCTTGGTAGGCTTAAATCATTGTTTACGGTTTGGGGAATGCCTACAGGGCTGGTTTGGATTTTAGGGGTATGATAGATGTGTTTTGTATCATTTCGACTAATGCTGCTCTAACGCTTGCTTTGGGAACTATGTGATCTGGCTGATACACTGTTCCCCACCACACTAACCTGGTTAACTGTCGGTAACTAAAAACTACATTCAGATTTTTTTCAGATGCTGTTCCTATTGAAGGAAATACTTGCAGAAATCTCCCTGAAATGGTTATCACTCTTTTCAAAGCTTATGTGAAAGAAGGAAGAGAAAATAGAAGGATCTAGCTTTAAATTAGTGAAGTTTGAATGTATAGAATTTTAAGGGGATATGGTTTATTACTTTTGATATATGTGCTCGAAAAAGTAAGATCTAAATATATTTACATTAGCTTACAGTGATTCTCCTCTGTACTACTAGCCAGCCTTTTATTCTTGTTTCTGAGTTAGTCTTCATTTTTCCTGGTTGTGTGGTATCTCTGCTTTTGGTTGATAGTGTTGGTTAAAAATCATGTTGTAAGTTTGCCCAGCAAAATAGCATTCAAAAAATAGGATCACCCTTACTATTATTCCAGAAATAATGACGCCTTGTTGCTGTTTGGACTCGAGTACAACATTTATTGAGCTATGAAGAAAGGGTAACCCATCAAGCAAGTGGATAACTAAGATGCACTAAAATCTCAATTGGCTGGAAATGTTCATATGTAACCACTATAAAATGCAAACTAGAAAAAAAAAGTACAAACAATTCTGTAATCCTGGATAAGAAAGCTTTGTTAAACAAAGCACTGATGTCAGAAACCAGCAGCAAAGCTTACTAAATTAGACCACATTTTTCCCATTTATAAGCAACAAAAAGCCTCCCCTGTCAATGAAATATAAATGACAAGCAATGGAGAATGGGAGAAACCTATCATAATGTGTTGTTGAAACATTTGGTTTTAACTGAAGTCTTTAAAATCAGTTGTATTATTTTTCTTGAACTCTCTGGAAGAAAGGTCCTGTAACAAATCTGCCAGTAGCAACATCAGACTTCTTAATTAATGAGTTAAGGGGAGTTAACAAAGCAGTTATCCTTAAAAAATGCCATTTGAGGGCCTGGTGCAGTAGCCTAGTGGCCTTGCACGCACCAGGATCCCATATGGGTGCTGGTCCGCATGTGGTCTGGGGAAGCATTCGAGAATGGCCCAAAACCCTGGGACCCTGCACCCACGTGGGAGACCCAAAAGAGGCGCCAAACTCCTGACTTCAAATTGGCACAGCTCTGGCCGTTGTGACCACTTGGGTTGTAAATCAGCAGATGGAGGATCTTCCTCTCTGTCTCTCCTCTCTGTATATCTGACTTTCCAATAAAAAAAAAAAATCTTAAAAATAACATTTGACCCAGTATGATATGTCAAAATTTGTCATACTTTTTCCCTAAACTGATGAGACATGGTTAAAACCTTGAAACAACACCTTTTCCTGAAAAATAGATATGCATTTACAAAAATGAAAAGTTTTAGCAGTCTGCTTTGTTTCTGTAAGCAATATTTACCTATCTTCGTAAGTCTTCGATATTGCCTTTAAAATTGCATAATATACCATACATCAAGTGCTGTATTTTTCCTCACCCTTTTCTGAGAATCATTTAGGTGATTTTTAGATCTTTCCATTTCATTTTTGTGCAATTTGCTAAACCTGTGCTACCAAAAAACCCCATCAGGACGTTCTGTAATTTCTGGCTCAGCCCACCTCCTCCCCCTCCATCCGTGTTTACATCTGTCCTGATTGTTTTAATGTTTGCCAGTTTGATGGATGAGAAGCGTTTTGAATTGCTCTTCCTGCCCCAACAGAAAAATTGAGCAACTCCTCATACTCACATTTTGAGTATATTAAGGTCTTTTCACAAACTTTGTCTGTTTTCTTTTTGAAGTATTTTTTAAAAATTTTTCTAATATAAGAAGACTTTGTGTAAGAAAAGAACAATTAATATTCACAGGACAGTTAACCCGTCGTCCTGTGAGACTATTTTCTCTCAGACTTTGACCTTAGATTTTTGTTAAATTTATCCACGGAGAAGTTGATCCTTCTCTACATGTATCAATTTTTAATTTTTATTTTCGTGAATTGAATTAAGCTCTCAGTGTCTGAGTTAGATTAATTACACATTGGAGAACTCACGAGATGGATGTTTGAGTTGACCACGTTCCTTGGGTGTCTGTCACCTGTTTTGTCTGAATTCATTCTGCACCAGTCGTCTTTTACCTTCCTGTCGCTTCATTCCGTCAGTCGGCTTGAATAATCATTGCACCTGTTTTGAGCTTTCCCACTCGTAAAATTTTTCACCTTCATCTTGCATACTTACACCAAGATACCACTTTTCTCACCTTTTTTGGCTCACTTCGGGAATGTTCCGTAAAGAATCAATGAGAGTGGTTTCCCTAAAATCAGGTATTCAGTGGCCATTACATTGATCATTTAATGAAATTATTCTCAAACTACTCACCCTTATGTAAATGAGCTAAAAATTATAACATCATAACAAACTTTTTGTAATGTCCTTAATTCTTGCACGCTTATTGAAGAAGTCAGAATGTTTTCCCATAATTGGCTTTGGATTTGTCCTGCTTATTTTTCCCCATAATGTGCTTTCCCATACTTGCTTTCCAAATGCTTCACATAGCAACACTTATCCCTGCAAAGAAACAATACAAATCTAGTTCCCTTACCTAAAGTAATTGCAGGACTGAAAGGCGTTTAGAATTTTTACTTGAAAAGGGTGCTGTGCTTTCCCAGCTGTAAGCAATTGCATAAATTGCCTTGTACCTAGACAAACGTTACTCTGCTGAGAGAACAGCAGGCAGCAGCTGGTGGGCACTCTGGGCCTGGTTAATGCCACATTTGTGTTAATGTACCAGTACGTCAGCGTAGTTGCTCCTTTTTTGGTTTTGTTTTGTTGTTGTTTGTTTGTTTGTTTTTTAGTGGTTTAGAGGGAAGAAACTAGAGGCATGTCTGGATCAGGGCAAGTGGAGAGACATAAAAGACCTGGGAGACCTGGTCTGGGCTAAATAACCTCGCTCATCACCCACAGGAGCACGCAAACCTGGGGCCGGGGGCATGCCTGGCCTGACGAGGCTGAAGTACACACCCATGAGTGTTGTACCAAGGAGTGGAGCATGTCAGGCTGGACTGTGAGAGAATCAGATCTGGGGCAGATTCTTAGGGAATTGTGGGCTTACCTCTGTGAGACTGCAGCACCTGTCAGTTTACATGAAGAACTGGGGGTGGTAGCAGGCTGAGCCAGCCTGACCACAAAACTCACTGACAATCGTCAGGGCTGGCGCTGGGAGGAGGCCAGGCCAGGCTGCAACACCAGCTGGCAAATGCAAAGACCAAGATGGAGGATAAACCATACCAAGCAGGGCTGTTGTACCCACCAGCCTCCGTGAAACCAGGCCCAGAACAAGCCTGGTGAAGGAACTTGGGGAACTCCCCAACTAGTGTTCTGGGGAGCATGGGAACTGGGGCTAGAGTCAGGCCAGGTCAAGCAAGTCTGCAGCACTTGTCAGCATTTGTGTGGACCAGGTGGGTCTGGGGAACAGGCTGGGCTGAGCCAGGCTTTAGCAGTGCTGGCACACATGAGAGCCATTACAGGGTATGGGTCATGCCTGACTGCACTGGGCTGCAATGCCCACCAGTGAGAACTGAGACTGGGTGAGCAGTGCCAGGCTTGGTCAGAGCACTTGTCAACACATGCAAATGTCAGGCTCAGATTAGACCTGGTAGGGGAACTCTGGGAACTACCCTGCTTGACTGCAGCTCCCCTCATTGAATGTAAGAGCCAGGGCCTTGGGTGGAGCAGTGAAGCAAGGTTGTAGCACCCTTACCATGTACCTGGGCTGTGTCTGCAGGCAGGCCAAAGTGGGTTGGCCTCTAGCACCTGCAGCTTCTCACAAGGAGCCAAAGTAGGTATGGGCCGGGCCAGGCTAGGTCATGGCTCCTGCCTGGCCACTCAAGAGCCAGGTCTTGGGTTGGGCCAGGATGGGCTAGCCTGTAGCACCCATTGGTGAGAGCCAGTATGGGTATGGCTTGTTGGGGTAGGCCACAGTATCCTCTGGTGAGTGCCAAGACTGGAGGATGGCTGTGTCATTCTGGATAGCGGCAGCTGCAAGGCTGGGAGCAGGCCTGGGAGGGGAACTTTGGGAACTACCCTGCTAGACACAGCTCTTGCTGGTAAGCGTGAAAGTCAGGGCTGGGAGCAGGCTAGACCAAGCTGGGTTGCAGCATCCATTGACACACGTGTGAGCCAGATCTGGGGTGGTCTGGACCAGGTTCAGCCCACACAGCACATGCTGGCATGAGTGAGAGCCAGGACAGGGTTTAAGCCAGGCCTGATTGGGTGTGAGTCTGTTTGTTCTCAGGACCAGCTGACAATTCCTGGGACTGGTTGTAAGTCACATCAGACTGTATTGCAGTACCCCCTGGCAGGCACAAGATCAGGGGCTAGGAAAATGCCTGGCAGGGAAACTCTGGGCACTCCGCTGCTGGGCTGCATGTATCACTGGTGAGCACAAGATCCAGGGCTTAGGGCAGACCATCCTGACAAAGCAGCAAATGTCAGAATACGTGAGGGCTGGGTTGGGCTGAGTCAAGCCACAGCACCCCTGAATGTACACAACGGCAGGCTGGGGTGTGGGCTGGGCCAGGTTAGGCTGCAACAGAGGCTGGCATGCACAAAAACTGGGCTGAGGATGGGTCCGGTGGGGGTTGTTTGGGATCGGCCAGGTTAGGCAGCAATACCCGCTGGTATGCGTGAGGACCAGGTTTGTGGTGGGCTGGCTGGCCTGTAGCACCTGTCAGTTTGCATAGATGTGGGACTGGGTCAGAAATGACCAAGCAGCTTCATCCACCTGGTTGTACAGTGGCTGCCAGGGTACTAGGCTGAACTTGGTCCGGCAGTGGCTGGCACACACAGGAGTCAAGTCTGAGGTCATCAGGTGAAGTGTCTTGGAGGACTGCCTGACTGGACCACTAATCTCAGATCCTGGCCACAGGGAACATCACAGAATACGTGATCCGATCTTGGATATTGGGACCAGGCCGCCTCAGTTGCTAATCCCGGACAGCATACCTGGATGGATGCGGAGAACGTGATGGCCAGCTCATCCAGGCCAGTAGGGCCTGGATTCTCTGAGCCAAGCTTTGCAATATGTTCCTGGGTCTACTCAAGCAACACCCTCAGAGCATTCTTTCCCACACTGGGGTCTCTAAAGCATCAGCCAAGGACTTTCCCTCATCCCCAGGTGCTGATGTGGTTCGACAGCCTGGAGTGCCTTGCTCCCTGTGGACACAAGAAAAAAAAAAAACAGAAACATTCGTCCCACCCACCTTCCTCCATACCTGACCTTCCCCACCCTAATCAGAAGCATACACCCCTCTCAACTATGTAAACGTTATTAAAATAAGAGGCATTATCCCTCCAGTGTGTACTTAAGTCGCGAATCAGGTTCTGTTCTGTAACAAAGCTTCCCTTTAGGAGTGTCACATTAACTGGGAACTGCTTCGTGTTAGGGCAGAGATTCTTCTGCACCAAGGCACTCTCCTAAGACTGCTTGTTTCAAGTTAGATATAAATTCTCTAGGACTGTGTGGTGTTGTGCTCCTTAGCCTGCTCCAGGAGGGCAAAACAAAAACAAATAATGGTGCAGGAGACCATGCTTTTTTCACTCAGGGACAAGTTTAAAGAAGTTCAGTACGCAAATCATGAATTCCCAGAAAGTTAAGGAAATGTATCCCTTTTTAAAAGATTTGTTTTTGTTGGAAAGGCAGGTTTACAGAGACCAGGAGAGAGAGGTCTGCCACCCACTGGTTCACTCTCCAAATGGCTGCAATGGCCAACGCTGAGCTGATTTGGAGCTGGAGCCAGGAGCAGCTGCTTAGTCTCCCACGTGGATCCAGGGCCCAAGGACTTAGGTCCTCCTCCATAAGCAAGGAGCTGGGTGGGAAGTGGAGCAGTGGGGACCCGAACTGGTGTCCATAAGGGATTCTGGCACCATAGGGTGGAGAATCAGCCTGTTGAGCCATGGCACCATCCTCACTGCATTCTGTTTTTTTTTTTTTTTAAGTAATCGTTTTCTTTCATAGCTTCTCAGTTTTCTTTATGAGGCAGCAGATTTTCTTCTCAAATTTTATATGTAATTTAAAGGCATATGTAATATTTTATAATATCTTATAAAATGAATATATAACTGGTTTTCAGAAGGGTTGGCTGACTTTTCACAGCATTTGTTAAATAATCCTTCTTGGACCCAATGTGATAGCCTTGCAGCTGAAGTCCTCACCTTGCATGCATGCCGGGATCCCGTATGAGCAATGGTTCTAATCCTAGTGGCCCTGCTTCCCATTTAGCTCCGTGCTTGTGGCCTGGGAAAGCAGTCGAGGACAGCCCCAAGTCTTGGGACTCTGCATGCGTGTGGGAGACCTAGGAGAGGCTCCTGGTTCCTGGCTTCGGATTGGCTCAACTCCAACTGTTCCAGTCACTTGGGGAGTGAGTCATCAGATGGAAGAGCTTCCTCTCTGCTTCTCCTCCTCTCTGTATATATAACTTTACAATAAAAATAAAATCTTTTTTAAAAAATCCCTCTTCTAATGTGTCACTTGTATTTTATATTAAGTTCCCACAGACAGGTGGATCTGCCTCATGCTTTGTTCCAGCGATTTGCTGTATCAAAATGATAATGTTTTAATTACAGAGCTTTATGACAGTCTGTTGGGTGTCAGGATTAACTGGATAAACAATGAGAAGATGCTTAGCAGAGAAACGATTTTATTAATCTACACCGTGGCCATCGTCCACACTTTCAGGATGACACACTTGAGGAATACACACTTAAGTGAAGCTAGCAGTTCTTAGAATAGTTTTTTTTTTTTTTTATAGTAGCAAAACTAACAAATAAAAGAAGACATTAACACAGAGTCTTGGTACACTTTCGTCCATTATTTACAAGGACAATAAGAAGAAAAGATAGCAGTGGCCAAGGATGCTTTGTCCTGTCAGTTCTAACTGGAGGGAGGCACAGAGGGTAGAGAGTGCTGTGGCTTTCCCCCTGGGACTTGGTGTTCCATAGTCGGTCGCAAAGCCAGGTGTTCCTGGCCTGGGAATGGCTGCCTTGTCCGCTGATGCACTCCGCTGCTTCCGATGGGGTGAGTCTGAATCATGCTGACTGTTGTTGTTGTACAGTGTGTTTTCCCACATGGGCCTCATAATCACGTTCATTTGATGCTAGATGAGTTTCACGTCTCTTGCCTCCAGGAAACTGGAATCATGCCTCATTTATTCAGGTCTTATTTTTATGACCGCTAATAAATTCTTGGTTTTCTCTAAGTTTATAAAATCTCTCTTGTTAAATTTTTGCTATGTATTTACAGTTTTGAATGTTGCAAAATATTTGAAATTGATTTTGAAGCATTGTTGCAACTATTCTTTTAGAATTATAGAATTACATATTTTAGTTTGCCTAATGTCTTTTCAATAGTTGCCGGATTTAGTTATTTTTCCAGAAAAGCTAAAAAGTATAAAAGTGTTACATTTACATAGTTCTCCCTTGGTTTAAAGGTATTTCAGGATCCTTAAGTGAATTATCAACTTTATCTGCCAACTTAAATGGTTGTTTGTTTTCTGAATAGATGGAATTTATTGAATGACTTTCTGCCTTTTCACAATCTCATTTTGCCCTAAGGTTGCTTCACCTGTAATTATGAAACAAGGACACTACTCAGTGGATGAATATATTAAAGAAGACTCCTTTATAGGAAAGTTGCAACCTAAAATGTATGTTCTATATGTATATATATTTAGTGTGTTAAATACAGTGTATTCTGAAATAATTTTTAAATTATTGATAAAATCTCATTTTTACATCCTTGTTTATAATCTATTGTTTATCATATGCTAAGTGCTGTGTTGAACTCTTGTCTAAAAAGAAAGTGGTTCCAGAAGTGATTTATAGGTGAGGATTCTCTTATTCATTTTTCCATTCTTCAGTGAGGCTTGACACAAGTACATACTTGTAATAAAAGCTCTTTTCAACTAGAGGATTTTATTTTAATATCAAACTAGAGATAAGCACTATTAGTTCACTTCTTTGTATGTCCGTGAGTCCTTTGAAGAGCGTATTTTATTCTTCTCTGTGTCCCTTTGTGGACACAGAATAAAAATGCAGTAAATAAAAATTCGTTGGAAGCAGAACCATAGTATTTTTACATCTTCTATAAGTTTTCTAAAGCAGTATCTCAGTCTAAAGTCTGCATTTAGAGTTGGCAGTAAGATGGGTCATGGGAGGGAAGAAGAGTGAAGTTTGTATGCTTTTTAACTGATAAAGGAGAAATTTGATTAACATGAATTCGCTGTAACCCTCTTTAGAAGGTAAGTATATTCTGTATAATTTTGACATATAATTTTTAACCATTGAAAACATTTACTATATTGTAAACTGTGAAGGAAATAAAAATATAGGATATCTTTAAAGAGCAACTTCACGTGATACTTTGATCTTGTAAATGGTGGCAATAGCTGCGACTCACCCCCAGTTCTTCATATTGCCCTCATTTACCTTTTGCCAGATTCTGACTTCTGAGCCTTTCATGTCCACCAGCTTATTTAATTCTCTTATTCTGCTCACCTCCTTACCACTTCCAGACTGTTCTTTGCTCTATAGTTCTTTACTGTCTGTGCAGTTAAGATACAAAATTCTGGGGCCAGCACTGCGCCATTGCAGCCTCAAGTTCTGCCTGTGACACCTGTGTCCCGTGTGGGTGCTGGTTCGAGTCCTGGCTGCTCCACTTCGGATCCAGTTCCCAGATAATGTGTTTTGGTAAAGTAGTGGAAGCTGACAGTGCTTGGATCCCAGCCCCTGTGTAAGAGACCTTTAGGAAGCTCAGGTGGCAGCTGGGACTGGGCTGTTTGTGGCCGTTTGGGAAATGAGCCACTGAATGAAAAAGCAGTATCACCCTTCATTTTGTCCCTCCTGCATCGCCCTCCATCTTCCTCCCTCCCACCCCTCGGAAGTTAAAAAAAAAAAATCTGTAAACTGTAGATCTTGGCTTTTCATGTTACCACAACAGTATCTTTCCAGATCTAACTGAAAGTTTAGACAGGAACAAAAAGGAAGATTATTTCTTTATGTAGTGGAACTACCTAACCAATCTAGGAAGCTGGTTATTGACAGCTCAGTCCAGGCTGAGTGTCAGTGCTGCCTCCTCCATTCTACACATGTCTGCCACCCTGAGCACCCTGTATTCCATGAACACCCTGTAGAGTGATTAGAATAATTTTTCAAGAATTCTGGCTTGTTGTGGGTGGCTGTAAAGCTCTTGTCCCCATGAAGCAGTCATTTTTATCTAGTGTGGGGCTGGCAGACAGGAACACCTCCAGGAGTCCAGCAGATTTACTCAGTAATGCAGATTGAGTTTAAACTGTGAATGGCAAATGAAAAAGGCTTACCTGCCCAAAGCAGCCTGGCCATACTCCACTGTGGGTATTGCTTTCATGCCCAGTGTTGCTGGATCTCTTTTCCCCTGCAGGTGAACCAGAGATCTGTTCTGTGTGAAATTTTTGGCTTTTAAAAACATGCAAGTAAAATCAGGTTGAGCTCTTATCTAGACATAGAAAATATCTAGATAATGTGAAACTTCACATTTGGCAGTCAAAGGATCTAAACTGGAAAGTGCTGAAACTTGTTATAACTTTTTTTTTTACATTACATTCCCTCATCTAAAGCACACTTATAAATGCTGCTTTCCTCATTTAGGAACGGTTTGGTTTAAAACAGCTGTGAATTTTTGATTTATAATGTAATGCTATACTGCTATATATTTAAATTTTTGAAAAATGCAGTCATGTTTCCAAGAGTATAAATATTCACTTTTCACAGAATGTTTAAAAGCGATTTGACATAGTTTGTGATAGAGTAATATTTCAGTGTCATAATTTCTTCTGCAAAATGTGAGATTATAATTAAGCAAACACTAAATGTTCATTATGTGCTAGCCAATATGAAAATATGAAGATAAAATAGCTAAAACGCTTCCATAGACAAGAGAATACAACTAAGTTTTCCAACTAAAATTTATTTTTATAAATATTCTAGGTTTATTAGTATATTTTTAAATAGCTGCTTTTGTGTGTGTAAATACTTTTTTGATGAACTTTGGTTTATTGGTTTCGGAAATTAACATCTCCATCAAAAATATAACAGATAAGGAGACGTAATTGATAAATTAATCACAATGTAAATTTCAGGCTTTTGGGGAATTTGCTAAAAAGTTGGGTTATTGATTTATGCTAAGTTTAAATGAAAATGTCTTTCCTCATGATTTCTGTCTCCTTACTCAGATCAAGAACCCAGTGTGTGTTCTTGTAAGTCAGCCTATGATTTTTTATTTTTTTGAATGAGAGTAAAACCTCAATAGCAGGCTAACACATTCCATTAATGTTGATACTGACATTTTTCAGATTAAAGAAATGTTCTCATGACTTTAAAAAGAATGCGAATGAGCTGACTGTTGGCATTGAGGCAGAACATTCAACCTCTGTACCCAGGACTCTTATGAACTCATCGGCTGTGTCGCTGGTACGACTTTGGCTTTGCCTATGGTAGCTTAACTTTCCTCTCAAGATTCTTATAGTAATTATAAATTATTTTGGAAGCTTAAAGGTAACAGTGTTAAACTTGCTCTCCATAGATATTTTGTGTAATAAAAGAATTCACTGTTTTCCCTAAGGCAGCCATTCTACCTTTGAAAATTTTGTGTCAAATTTCTACATATTTACTTACGTGTATTGTCTTCCTTAGAAAATGGTGAATTCAGATTCTGTGAAACATGCATAAAGCATAAGTAAATTTTAAATATGATTTTCTACTTGTTTTAAATGGTAACCAAGGGGCTTAACTACATTTGTTAATGATGGCTATTTTTGTTGAGAGTTGAATTTTGCCTTTTTTCACCACTGATAACTTTGCTTTTTTCAGTTTGAAGTAAATGTCACTAGATGGAGAGTTAAGTCTTTTCATTAAAATTGTTAATAAGCTAGAGTTGAGTGCATATCATCTTGCTTTTTTGCTTCGAGTTTGACTCTTAGCAAAGCCAAACTAATCTTTTTTTAAAAGATGTTTATTTAATTTTTTAATGGATATATTTGTTGCCATGGTAAGTTCAAGGCAACTTTAAGTTGAGAAGTCATAATCTCATTTTTTTAAAAGGTATCTTCGTGTGAACAAATTTAAAATGCCTTAACCAAAGTTCCAAATATGAATAGCTTTTATTGATAAATATGAATAAAAGTGTTGTTTTTGTTGCTTAGTTTCCAATTGCTGCAATGAATGTTTCTTTTGTAAACAAAATGCCATTCTGAAGCTTTTGCAGCTGTAGCAGTGTATTTTGTTGCGTGTTTATACATGGTTCCTCTCCCTTGTTAGGAGACTAAAACTACTGAAGAAATTGATGAAGCACTGAAGGTAGCAGGCTATAATGTGGAGCAACTGAGTACTGCTGTACAAGTAAGTGTTTTGAACTACTAAGTTCTGTGAAGAACTGAAGCATGTCCTTTTTAAATAGGCATGTTTAGGTGTGTTATCAATGAGGTTATCATTTATTGGCACTGAGTTGTTAGGCGTGATAATAGAGAAACATAGGGAAGATTGGAAAACGCTTCTCAGGGCCCACCAGGGTTGGTCTTAAAACATTATGTTAAGCTAATGAAATTGGAGTTTTTACCTACTTTGGGGTAAATTTTTAACCCAGAAGCATTACAGATCATCTTTTTAACATTTCTTTATTATTTGGCTGAACCTTTGGCTGAGTCTTAATCTATTTCCTCCTTATTTTACTTCTCCGCCCCCGTTCCCTCCCCAAAGAAAAACTCACCCATGGTGATAAGAAATGAGCTGTTAAACATCCAGCAACAAAATTAAGAACAAGGAGTTTAAAAAGTTAGAGTTGATTTATATTGTGGCTGCTTTTTAATACTAAAGGACAAGATATTTGGATTAACTAAAAGCCACTACTATATATGGGTTGTTTTTTTTTTTTTTTGCTTGTTTTTTAGTGCTCAGATATTTTATTGTTTTTTGATACAATTTGGTTGGCGCTGGGCTCTCCCGTCTCCCTTCCCTCTTTTCTCCCCTCCAGTCTCACAATGGGTGTCTGTCATGAATTTTTCCAAGTCCATCATGCTGCCGCTGGAGTGTCTCCCAACCATGTAGGAGACTGTCATTTCATTGTGAGTTCATTCTTGTATCCTAGGGCCCTAATGTAGGTACAGTGAGGACTAGATCATTATTTATGGGCAGTACCAATAACAGTGCTAAAAGGGACATTGACCAACTCAGGTGATTATAAATAATCAGTCTCTTATGAATGGTTGATTAATGAATTCCATCACAAGATCTTATTGCAGAAGTAACAGGTAAGTATGAAGTGGCATAGAGTAAGATTCACATATAATATTCCTAGATTTGACATTGTATTATCTTATGTTAGAGCAAATATAGGATAGCTGACCTTTTGGGATTGGCTCATTTCCTTTAATATAGCGGTCTCTAGTTTGGCCCACTTGACCACCAAGTATTGTATTTCTTTTTCTTTTTTTTTTAATTTTACTGCTTTTTATTGTTATTTTATGATACAGTTCCATAGGTCCTGGGATTTCCCTTATCCCCTCCCCTATTTCCTCCCCCCTCACTGAGTTACCTATTTGTTACTATAGTACACAGTCATACGTCCATCATTGCGGGCATGGACAATGGCAGAGAGTCCAGCATCCTAATGTCAATATATAGTAAACAGTTTCATTGGGAGTCCATTTTTAGTCTGGAAGTAGAGATGCATACTGCATTGTATCCTCACATCTGGAAATGTTAGTCTCCATTTCACAGTTACTATACATCCCCTTAAATAAAAAGCTACAATAAAAAAATCAGCAACAGGAAGAAAAATAGAAATTTACAATGACATGAAATTAAATAACATGCCACTAACTAACGTGTTGCTGAAGAAATGAAAAAGAAAATTGGGAACCTTCTTGAAGAAAATGATGCTACTGTATGTCTGAGTCATTGAAGAATTTAATCAGAAGAAAGTGTTTTGAAGAGATAAAACTAACAAAAAAATCAAAATTCATGAGATATAGTTTCTGCTGATCTTTGTTGGTGAAATATGTCTTTTGTAGGCAACAAATAGATGGGTTTTGTTTTTTAATCCAGTCTACTAATCTAGGATGTTTGATTGATGAGTTTAAGCCATTTCCATTCAAGGTTAATATGAATGGGTGGTAATTTGGCCTGTTGTTTTAGCAGTGGGTTGTTCATTGATTTAGTCTTCTGTTGTTATTTTACTGGAATGTTCTTCACATTTGTCTTTGGTTTTGGTGGGTGCTATTCCTCTTTTTTTTCAGGAAAACATCTTTAAGTATCATTTGTAGGGCAGGTTTGGAAGAGGTGTATTCTTTTAACTTTTCTTTACTGTGGAAGAATTTTATTTCATTTTCAAAGATAAAGTAAAGTTTTGCTGGGTACATTATCCTGGGCCGACAATTTTTTTCTTTTAGAATCTGGAATATGTCACTCCATTCTCTTCTGGCCTGTAGGTGATAGAGACTAGTAAGCCAGGAGTTGGTGCTACAGAGACCATGGTGGAAATCTAACATAAGAACACAGACCTGGAACTCACTGGAGGGAGTGGCACAACTGACTACAAACAAAGAACCGTGTACTAACTGCAATAAGTAAAATCAAACTGTAGACCTGTGGGTGACAGCTTAGGAACCTGTCCCAAGGAGAAGACTCTGCTAACCAGAAGTACAATGACCAAGAGCAAAAGAAGACACAGAGGCACAATGAATATTACTGAAGATTCCCTTGCAAAGGAGCAAAAGCCTTTACAAGTCTGAGTTCACTGAGGAAGACATCGAGAAAATGGGGGATACAGAATTCAAAACACTTCTTATAAAGCTTATTATCAACAGTGAGAAGCATGTAAAGCAGGCATTCAAGGAATTTAAGGAATATGTCGCTGGAAATGAATCAAATGAAAGCTGATTTATCAAAAATTAAGAATACAGTGGAGCCAATTAAAAGTACAGAGGAGAGTCTCCAAAATAGAATGAAAGAAGCAGAGGAAAGAATCTCAGAATTGGAAGATATTTCCTGTCACCAGGGGTAAACAAACAAAAAGCTGGAAGCAGAGCTGGATCAGGCCAAAAAAAAGTATTCAAGAATTGAAAGACAGCATTAAAAGGCCAAATATAAGAGTTATGGGAGTCCCAGAAGGTGCAGAAAGAGAAGCTGGGTTTACAAATGTATTTAGTGAAATAATAAGGAAAGATTCCCCTAATCTAGAGAAAGACTTGGGAAATGACATCCAGGAGGGATACAGAACTTCAACAGGCTTGATATAAAGTTATCTTCACCAAGACACCTGATTATCAAGCTCTCTTCAATCGAACATAAAAGATCCTTAAATGTGCACATGAAAAAATCAGCTGACATATAAAGGAATGCTAATTAAACTCACAGGAGACCTCTCACAGGAAACATTATATTTTGTAAGAGGATGGGACATGTGAAAGAATGAGGAAAGAAAACTGAGTAAAGGAAAAGCTTGAGAGACAGGTGTTTTCACAGGGGTTAAGACTCCTCTAGGCAAGCCTGGTGCTGGTTTGAGGCTTTTCTCCACCTCCAGTCAAGGTTCTTGCTTTCATGGCCTGGGATCTAGCAGGGATAGGTCCAGTGTTCCCACCACCCACATAGGACACTGAGACTGCCCGCAGCTCCTGACGTAGCATCATCCAGCCCTGGCTGCTGCACACATCCGGGAAGTTAGCAGCAGATGGAAGTTCTTTCTCCCTCCCGCCCCCTTCCCTTTCTTTCAAACTTTTTTTTTTTTTTGTACTAGAGAAGGGAAATGGTGCCTATTGTTAGAAGCAATTATAATAAATACAGGATTGTATTATTTTCTATGTTATATAGAGTAGCGAATTGCTAAACTCAAGGTTACGACTTCAAAACAGGCTGCCTTATGCCCCTATTAGTAATACTTTTTTCAGTGCAAAGTATATTCTCCCCATTCCAGCATCCCCCAAAATATTAACTCATTTTAGCATCAATGCTAAGGCCAAAATTTTATCTAAATGTGTATGGTAGAACAGGCTGTGATGCATCCTGGGACAGAATTCCAGCTCTGAGCCGTGAATCCAGACAGGGAGTCCCTGTTACAAAAGAGAGAAATTGGGAAAATAAGAGGGAAGGGAGTCATAGATCCTAAACAAATAATTTAAAAACTGTTTAAAAATAGAAGGAAATATGTGTAATAACTGACATTTTAATACCATTATTGTTTGTTGTTTTTTAACGCAATTCTGCCATAAAGAAGGAGTGCTATCCAAAAATAATTCATTTCCTGTAATGATAAAAAGCAGTTTTAAAATTTTAGAAAACACGCCAGTGGGTCTTTATTAGTTCACTTTCCCAAATTATCACAACAAATTGTTAATATGATGTGGTGTTGATCCAAACATTAAGGCTTTATCATTGAGTCGATGAATTGTTCCATTTATTTTCATCTGCTCTGTGGTATTTTGAAGCCTAGAAACGTTTCTTTCACTGTCAAAATTAAATTGACAGTACAAAAGATTTAGTTAGCAGGGAGAGTGACAGAGATGGGGAGAGAGAGATCCTTTTGCATCAGCTGGTTCACTCCCCAAATGTCCCAAACCACCAGGCACTGGCCAGGCTGAAGCCAGAATTCCATCCTGGTCTTGCACATGGCTGGGAAGAGGCCAGCTGCTGGAGCCACCTGGTCCTACCTTTGCAGGTACCTCAGCAAGGAGCGGGATCTGGAGCCGGCACCACGATATGGGACGCTGGAAGTGCAAGCTACAGCTTGACCCTCTGCACCATAACCCTGACCCATTACGGTACAGCTTATACCAAGTAAATGTATCCAGTGAAAATTTTGTGTTGTTTTCCTAGGTGCTTGAACATATACAGAATAAAACTAAAGAGGAGACCAACAGTCTTATACAGCTTATGGAAAAACAGTTTGATCAACTGTTTGCTTCTCTTGATTCCAGGTAATAAGTCAGTGAAAAATAAAAACTTGATCAAATGGAATTTTTTTTATATTAACATGGCATTTTATTTGTCTTGATGAGAGTATTACTATTTTCTTTTTAATCACTTTTTTAAGTATGCAGTGTAATCACACTTGGAAATTCTGTGTTTAACTTTTTAAGGAACTACCAAAGATAAAGTCCTATCTTACTGTGGATCTTTTTTTTTTTTATCTCCCTAATAACTGGTGACGTTAGGCATTATTTATTGATCATCTGTATATATCTGATTTGAAGAAATATTATTCAATCCTTCATATCCATTTTTGTTGCTGGACTGATATATTCTACGTATTAAATCTTTATTAGCTACATGACCTTATTTCCTCCTACTTTTTGGTAATGATGCCTTCCATGAAAGTTTCTAAATTTATTCTTTCTATTCTTGCTTGCACTTTTGGTGCAATGTCTAAGAAATAATTGCCAATTGGGAAGCATCCCCATTTGTTTTCTTCTGAGTGTTTGGAGCTTTCTTTTTTTTTTTTTTTTAAGTTTATTTGCTTTTTTTTTTAAGACTTATTTATTTTTATTGCAAAGTCAGATACACAGAGAGGAGGAGAGACAGAGAGGAATATCTTCCATCCGATGATTCACTCCCCAAGTGAGCGCAACAATTGGTACTCACCAATCCGAAGCCAGGAGCCTCTTTTGGGTCTCCCACACTGGTGCAGGGTCCCAAGGTTTAGGGCCATCATCGACTGCTTTCCCAGGCCACAAGCAGGGAACTGGATGGGAAGTAGAGCTGCCAGGATTAGAACCGGCGCCCATATGGGATCCCATTGTGTTCAAGGCGAGGACTTTAAGCCGCTAGGCCACGGCTTTAATTCTTTCATTTAGATCTTTGATTCAGTTTTGTTAATTTGTGTATAAATAGGATAATTAAGTAAGGATCTGATGTCACTATTGAAATTGTGTGTCTAGTTTGCCTGGGACCATTTCTTGAAAAGTTATCCTTGCCTCTTGGCTTACTATGTATATAAAGGCTTATTTCTGGACTTTATATTTGATTCTATTTATCTAGCAAAGGATCTTCAAAAAGTTGGTTGCAAATGCACATTATGTTCATGAGTTTTTAAAAAAAATTTGCACTTAAATCACCTTTTTAATTCAGTATTCCACAATGTTTTGAAGTTCTTAGAGAAGTATTACATTGTTTTGATCACAACAGCTTTGTAATTTGAAGTCAGAATATGTAAGTCCTCCAACTTTCTGTTTTTTTCAAAAAGTATTTGTTTGAATATCTGAACTATAGTGACCAAGGGGTCTTTGATCTGGTGGTTCACTCTCCAGATGGCTGGAACTAGGCAAGGCGAAAGCTAAAAGGCAGGACCTCCGTCCAAGTCTCCCCGTCAGTTGGGAAGGGCTCACATACTCACAGCATCATCTGTCTTTCCAAGCACATTAGCAGGTGCTGGATTGGAAACAGAGCAGCTGGGACTCCATTATGGGGCACAGGTGTATAACCACCTGAGCCAACATGCTGACCCCAGATTCTTCTTTTATCTATACAGTGTTTCCTAAGAATCCACATGACTTTTATTATGGATTTTTATATTCCTGCAGAAAATTTCTATGATTTTGTTAGGACAACATGGAATTATAGCTCACTTTGGTTAAAATTAATATCTTAATAGTTTTAAGTCTTCCTGTCTCCAGAAATGTGATATTTTTCTGCTCGTTTTAATCTTCTATTTAATATCTTTTGGAAATTTTGTGTACTTCCAGCATGTAATCTTTCACCTTGTTAGTTGACGTTATTCATAAGATATTACTCTTTTACTACTCTTTTAAAAGAGATTGTTTTGGTCATTTCATTTTAGGACTGTTCATTGTTACAATATAGAAAAACAGTTGATTTTCATGTGTTGATTTTATACCTTACATCATTGCTAAAAACATTTCTTAGCCCTGTACTTGCTATTTGTAGCATTTTGGGGGCTTTCTGCATTTAAGAACATAGCATCTGCAACAAAAGGTCATGTCTTTCCTTCAAATTTGAGTTATTTGTATTTTTTTCTTGCCTAATTGCTCTGGCTAGAACTTTTAATGCTTTATTGTGTGGAAGGGACAAAAGTGGATATCCTATCTTACTTTTAAGTATGTATGTCTATGGTTTATTTTCATTTTGTTTTTCATTTTAATTTTTAAACTATGTCAAAAGAACAGGAAATTATACAGAACAATGCAGTGAACAAACATTTAACAGTTTTTAACATTTGCCGTGTTCCCTTCACATACACATGCACATTTTCTGGAAAACAGGATGGATATGTTAATATCATAATGTGGGGTTCATGATAAAGTGGGGTAAAGGCATATTGTTACATACAGTGTAATTCAGTGATGGCAACTTTTATAAATACTTCCATACCAAATAATATGGCACATGCATTTTTAGTGCTAGTCACAACTGTTTTACATATAAAGGAAAACATATTTGTCTTTTTGTGTCTGCCTTATTTCATTTAGCATAATAGTCTCCAGTTCCATCCATTTTGTTGCAGATGTCAGGATTTCATCCATGTTTATGACTGAGTAATACTCCATTGTATATAAATGTCCTTTTTTTCGTCATGTATTAATGGACACCTGGGTTGATTCCATGTCTTTGCCATTGTGAGTAGAACGCTACTAATCATGACAGTGAAAATATCTCTTTCGTGCGCTGATGTCTTCTCGATATATTCCCAGAATTGGAATAGCTGGATTGTTTGATAAATGTATTTCTAGGTTTTTGAGGAACTTACTGTTTTCCATGTGGCTGTACTAATTTACATTCTCACCAAGAATTTATTAGAGTCCCCTTTCTCCTCATATTCACAGCACTTATCATTTTTTGACTTATAAATAATAGCAGTTCTAACTGGAATGAGATAATACCTGCTTTGTGGTTTTTATTTGCATTTCATTGGTGGTTCATGAAACAGCACTTTCTTATCTGTTCATTGGAGACTTACATGTCTTATTTTGAAAATTTTTCTGTTCTTCATTGCATTATTTGTTGAATTTCTTGAGCTTTCTCTATATTTTGAATGTAACTCCCTTATCAATAGCTTGCAAATATTTTCTCTTATTTCTCTTATTTCTTTGGCATGCAGGAGCTTTTGAGTTTGAATGATATAATACCATTTGCCTGCGTTTGCATACATATATGTATATAAAGCTCTTGTTTAGACCATTGTCTTGGAGGGTTTCTTATATTGCCCTCTAGTAGTTTTATACTTTTAGGTCTTGCTTACATTTATGTCTTCAATCTATTTTCAGTAGATTTTTGTGAAAGGTGTAAAGTACAGATCTTACGTCAAACTTCTGCGTGTAGAGATCCAGTATTCCCAGCACCACTGGTAGAACAGACAGTTTTTCCATGGAGCATTTTAGCACCTTTGTTAAAATTGGTTGTGGATGCGTGCATTTGTTTCTGGGATTTCTATTCTGTCCCATGGCCTGTGGGTCTGTTTTTGTTTAGGGCTTTTTTTTTTTTTAAGATTTTGTTTTTTCCTTCTTTTCAGTTAGAAGGAGAGACAGAGACCTTCCCTTCACTGGTTCGCTCCCCAAATGACTACAGTGGCTGGAACTGGGCCAGTCTGAAGCCACAAGCCATGCATGAGCTTCTTCTGGATCTCCCATATGGGTGTAGGGATCTAAGCAGCTGGTACATTCATTGCTGTTTCCCAGGTCATCAACAGAGAATCAGAGCAGAGTGGAGCAGGTCTCCCATGTGGGATGCTGATGCTGCTACTGCAGGCAGGAGGGCTTAGGCTGCTAGTTTTTGTGCTGGCTCCCAGGGGTCAGTTTATGTCTTGAACTCTGATATTGTGATACCTCTGCTTTTGTTTTTATTGTTTAAGATTGTTTTGACCATTTTGGTCTTTTGTATTTCCACATGAGTTTTAGAATTGTGGATCCGTTGATATTTTAATGGAGATTACGTTTAATCTCAGTATTTCCTCAGATTATACAGATATTTTGATAATATCACTTTTGACTTTTAGATGCAGGAGATCTTCCCATTTCTGTGTCTTCAGTTTCTTTTATTATTTCGTGAAAGTAGTTTAATGATTTTCTTTGTAGATGTGCTTGGTCAAAACTTATCCCAAGATATTTAATGTTTTTTTTTTTTTTTGTAGCTGTTATGAATGGAATTCTTTGGTGTTCTTAGCTAGACCAGTGTTGGTATGTGAAAGTGCTACTGCTTTCGTATACTGATTTAGAATCTTGTGTCTTCTCAATTGTAGTCTCTTGGTGAAATCTTTTGGTTCCCCCGTGTGTGGAACCACACTATCCACAAGTGGGGATGATTTTTTTTTTTGTCCCTGCTACTTCTGGCTAATGCTCCCAAAACCTTATTGCATAAAAGGGACAACAGTGGACATTCTTTTCTGCCTCCAGATATTAGTAGAAATGCTTTCAGCGTTTCCCCTTACACTGTGATGTTACCTGTGGGCTTGTCATATATAGCCTTTATTATACTTGGACATGTTTCTTCTATACCTAACTGAAGTCTTTTTGTGAATGAGTGTTGTTTTATTAAAGACTTTCTCTCTGTATATTAAGGTGGTCATACCGTTTTTATCCTCCATTCAGTTCATGTTGCATGTTTATGCATATGTTGAATCATCTTGCATCCTTGTGATAAACCCCAGTTAACCAGGATATCTATTGAATCTTATATATTACTGGATTCAGCTTACTAATATTTTGTTGAGGATTTTTGTATCTGTTTATCGGTAATATTGGTTTAAGGTTTTCTTTTTTTGTCATGACATCTGCACTTGGGATTTAGGTAATGCTGACCTCATCAGGTGGATTTGGAAAGGTTACCTCCTTTCAGTTGTTTGTAATAGCTTGAGAAGAATTAGTGTTTCTTCTAGAATTCAGCAGTAAAGCCACTGATCCCAGGCTTTGCTTTTTGCAAGATTCTTCATTGCTGATCTGAAATTTCTGTTGTGGTACACTAGTTT